AGGTCTTCATAGCATGTGTCCGGATTGTGTAACCCATTATGATTAATCAAATAGTTTCAATGATATTAATAGCTTTGAACATTTTTTGAGCAGTATCGCATCGTTCACATCAAATTTTCTTGATTTGTTTTTGTCAAAATTTGAGGGAGTAAACATCGAGTTCACTCTGTAAAACAGTAATAAATTTACTGTAGTGTATTTACTGAAAAGTAAGTTATTACAGTTATAAGCATATGCATAGCATGGCTAATACGTGTAACCGTCACTCCGGAAATAAGGGTCTCCCTTATATGCGACGCTTACTGTGTTTTGACATTTTTTCTTCTCACGACACTTGAATACCACCCTCTTCAACGGTTCGATGGCCTCAGCAGTAGGCTCGAAGGATTCTTCACTGATCATTGTAACTGTGCTTTTTCATCTCAGATGAAGTATGATGGCTCTCAAAGGTGCACTGTTATAGAAACAACTAAGCAGGAAAGAAACCTGAGAGGATGCTGTGTAAAAAAGACGCATTAGAGTCAATAGCTTACTATATTAAGCAACTGAGACACCATGTACAGGAAATTGGTCAATGGGAAAACCCTTCTTCTTGCCTTAATTTTCAACTTTTTGGTGGTAATTTCCGGGTTCAGAAATTTTTTGCCGAGTAAAAATAGAATTCCACAGCTACTTCTGGTGTTTATTATTATGTTGTTACTGAGTGCCACTTCAAATAAGCAGATCAAGAGTAAGTGGTCACCGACACCGACCCTGTCGTATATATGTAAGGCGTACGTCATCCTGAGTTTAACAGGATGGGTACAGAGGACAGGCAAGCCTGCAATTCTACACTGTTTAATTAATTGCACTATTAGAGTGGAGGTCCATCATGTGAGCAGATGAAAAAATGCAATGTATTTGTCCTTGTTGGCTGTGTGGTTTTAAACTCAACGAAATTTCCAAAAGGAATATTTCTTCGCGTCACTGATAGATACATGTAGAATTTCAAATTTAAGGTAGTGATTGTTAACGTAAGGGATATTTATGCCATTTCCTTGCAAGGGAAGGCGTCCTTGTCGTTCCCTCGCTCAGTCAAAACGCCGATTTTCCGTCACCACAGACCAAGTTCATCAGGGAAATCTTGTTCGCTCGGAGTCACCACCACGTTGTTTTCTTTGCTAGTTAATTTCGATCTGTTGCATTGTCCTTACACAGATACCTGCATCTCTATGATTAACTTTAGTGAGCTTTAAATGGTGGACATCTTGCTAGCTTCGCCTCATCAGCAACTACCTGCTCCTAAAGTATCGCTAGTTGGCCTGCCGATTTCAAGAAAAGTAACATGGAATTGAGAAGAAGACTCGATCGCTGGGATAATACGTTTATTCGCCTGACGTT